AGGAAAGGAAATTGGAACTTTGTGAGGAAAGGGCCTACCCCAGGACACTGAGGTTCATCCTGGCCATGGAACCTGGGCCTGGGCATCCAGTCCCTTTGAGCCTCTGTCTTCTAGTTATAAGTGGACACAGCAGTACACCTGGGCACCTGCTACTTGCAGGGATGTTTGTGGGTCTTGAAACAGGATTCTGCCTCAGGAGGTCTGGATATTCCATGGGCCATGAAGAGGGGCTCGGGAGTGGGGGGATTTATGAATGCAACAGAAGCCTGCTTGAGAAACAGGTGCTCAGCCCATCTGGTCTGGGGACAGACGCCTCCTTCTGCTGTCTCGGGTACCTGCAAGTAATCAGGGGCCTCTCTGTCCCCTTCCTAGAAGCCCATAACCATGAGGCATAGGACTGCCCTTGAGAGGTGGAGGTTCTGGGCTCATAGCTCCTCCTGCAGGGAAGCTGGGGAGGACCCATCTCCCTGGATGTCACCTTCCTTCTCCACAGCTACCCAGGTTGTGGCGAGGCTGCTCATGATGGGCAGCTGACAGTGAGCTCCTAGTATCTCAGTGGCGGCAGCAGTGATCTGAGCTCACGCCTGGAAAGGGACTCACACTGCCATTCCCAGTCTCTCTGACCATTACCTGGGGATATGCACACTTGCACGGCTGCAGCCTGAGCAGGAAGCGACTATTATATATATGCACGTGGCCTGCAGCTGGCTCTTCTCTCTAACCACGTGGCTGAGGGGACGCTCATAGCAGGCATGGAGGGCAGCTGGTGGTAGAGTTGGTGAGACTGTGGAAGCCTTCGAGGGACAGAGGGAGCAGCTGGAGGACGAGCAGGGCTCATGAGCCCCGGGAACAAGGCAGCAGTGTCCACAGGCAGTCTGTGTGGTGCGTGGCTGCTGGAGTGGCTGCCTCTCTTCTGCCACTGTTATGTGAAGTGTGGTCCTAGGTAAGACTATCTGATGGACCATGCTGGGTCCCAGGACCGTGACTGGGGGAGGGGAGCACCAACACCGCTCCCAGTGGGAGCACAGTAATGTTTTTTAATCTTTAGAGTTTTAGTGTGTGCATGATGGGGGGGGCACATGTGCCACAGTGTGCATGTAGAGGTCAGAGGACAACACTGTAGATTTGTTTCCTCATCCGCCTTTATGTGGGTTCTGGAAATCAAACTCAGGTCTCCAGGCTTGTGCACATGTGTGTGTCTGTGTGTGTGACAAAGTCTCAAAGTTTGAGGCTGGCCTCAAACTCTCTATGTAGCTGAGAATTACCTTGAACTCACAATGTCATCCTGCCTTTACCTCCCAAGTGCTGGGATTATAGGCATGTGCCACCATGCTGGGTTTGTGAAATGTCTGGGCTTGAACCCCAGACTTCATGCTTGCCAGGAAAGCACTCTATCACCTGAGCTATATCCCCAGCCCCCGTGTGCTTTTTTTCAGGAGAATGGGGAGTGAATATTAGTGGGGCCAGGGCAAAATCCCAGGCCCTCTGAGGCTACCCAGTCTTTACAGACAGCTCTTACAGCCTTCTGCCCCCAGCCAGCTGACATGCCCTGGACTCACCCATCCATCAGATGACTGGGGTGTTGCAAAACCCAAATCTGAGAGAAACAGTCTAGATGGCCCACATGAGTGAGGTGTTTGCCCAGCTATGGTCAACAGGGTGTGGGGAGTGTGGCTCCAGAGATCCATCCTCAAGAACGGCCTGGGTAGCCCACTAAATACCATCCACAGGACTAGAGAATCCTCAAAGGTGAGAGGGAGTGACCCTTTGAGACTGAAGTCTGATGTGCCCATCTTATAGATGGGGAAGACTGAGGCCTGCCTCTCCTGCCAGAGAGGATGTGGCCTACAGCTTGGACCAGGTTCACAGTTTCACAAGTCGCTTCTAGCAACCAGAAGGCTCTTATCACACCAGTTCAGAGGCAGAAGTCAGGAGGAACAGGCCCCAGAGTACAGAAGCTCTCTGCCTGCAGAGATTTGCCCCAGCTGACCAGGCCTCGGTTCCCTAGCCAGGCTGAACTGCCCTAATTCAAGGGAACACCCAGCCGGGCACACAAAATCCTCCAGTTTGCTGCATGGACAGGGCTCCCAACAGGCCCCTCTAGAGGAGTAAATACAGTCTTGTTAATAATTCTGTCCAAATCACCCGACACAGGCAGCTCTGGATCTGTGGTGCTAAGAGCGACTGCAAGGGCCCGGAGAGACTCATTATGTGGAGGAAAACGTGATTAAAAATCGATGCAGCCACCAACGGATGGAGTTTTATGAGGCCTGGACGGGATGGGCAGGAGGCAGAGCTCAATGCCCCGAAAAGCAAGGAGGGTAAAGGAGCTGGAGAGGACGTCTAGGTGGGGTAGATGAGCTCTCTCAAAAACAGTGCCACCCCAGCCTCAGCCCAGGATTGCTGCTTTGGGTGAAGGCTGATGTAATAAATGGATGGAACCAGTCCAGAGGACAGCACCTGGGCTCCTGGCTGGGGACTTTGGAGTGGATATGGGCAAGCCAACTACCCAATTGGGCCTTGCTATAGAGTCAGGTGGAAGGATGAGTCAATGGGGTTGGGGGACAGCGACAGTTCAGCCCCTTTGCTGGCAGGGCTGGGTCAGGGTCCCCCTGCCACAGGATGTGAAGTATGATGGGGCCATATGTGCAATTCCCAGGACAGAAGACGCCTTAGAATTCTGTCCTGCCATTTTCTAGGGATCCTTCTTGGATGCCCTAAGGACCCAGAGAGGACTGTCAGGCCTCTCCCAGTCTCACAGGTCACCTACATGGGCTAAAGCAGAAATGGATTTGTATGACTCAGGAGTCCAGCAGCACCTGCCTTCAGGCAAGGCTTGATCCAGAGCTCACAGGCTGCAAAAGGAGTCCTGTTTTCTCTCCTTTTCTGCCTCTGCCTTGAGGCTGTTTTCAGAAAGGCAGCAGCTGATCACCCCCTCACTTAGGTTATCTTCCTTAAAGAGGCCATTTCCTCCTCACACCCTACCCTGTCCCTCAGTCACGGCTCCAGTACTGGGTCCTCAGTCACGTAGATTGGTCTGAATAGGGTCATTTGTTTAGTGTGTGCATGCCTGTGCGCATGTGTGTGTTTGTGCGTGCGTGTCTGTGTGTGTACATGTGGAAGCCAGAGGGTGACATCAGGTGTCCCCCTCTATGGGTTCCACCTTATGTTTTGAGACAGGGTCACTCATTAAATCTGAAGCTTGCTGTTTGGATTAGATGGCTGGCCAGTGAGACCCTGGGATCCCCGTCTCTGCCTAGAGAGCAGTAGGGTTACAAGTGTGTGCCTCCACACCCAGCTTTTTAGAGGGGGTGTTGGGAATTGAAGGCAGGTCCTCAGCTTGCACCGCAAACATTTTGCCTGCTAAGCCACATCTCCAGTCCTGTACACTTCATCTCTCAAGGGACTGAACTACTTTGCAGACAGCATGGCGCATTCCGACCAGCAGTGCCTGAATGTCCAGTTTCTCCTTGTTCTCTGTCTCTGATCAAGACCCTCCTGGTGTGTGAGAAGTAACATTTTGCTGTGGTTTTCATTCCTATGAATGAGGTTGAGCATCTCCTCACACACTCCCTGGCCACCTGTGAGTCTTTGCAAAAATGCCTCATCAACGGACTGGACTGTTCAATGGGAACAGGAACGTCCTCTGTAGCCAGCAGGGCTGGAAACAGTAGACAGGTACCCACAGATCCGAGGTGGAGGGTGATAGATAAAAAGTTGCCATATGACGAATAGGGTTGATCAGGAGAAAGCAGAGTTAATTAGCAAAGGAACACACGGGACAGATTCCCTTCCAGGCAGGGAAAATGTCTGCCCCCCCGGTCTTGAGCTGGGGTCTTTTAAGGGGGGGGCTTCTGCCTTCCTGCAGAAGGCGGGAAGATGTATTTTTTTAAAGTTGGGTGGGGGGAGTGGGAGAGTGGGACTGTTAAAACCTGTTCTCTTTAGAGATCAAAGGGGAAGCCTACTGTGTTGGCCAACAGTGGAGAAAAGTCTGCTTCTCTTGACTTCAAAGACCAAGGTGCTTATTAGCTTGGTTCCCTTTTCTCAGAAGCATGAGAAGTCCTTGAGACCCTGCTGGTGAGGGGGCAGGGCTATCTGAACCTTAACAGAGGGGGGGTCTTTACCTTACACTAAATACAAATATGACTCAAAGGGAATCAAAGACCTAAATGTAAAAGCCAACACTATAAAACTCTTAGAGGGGCTGGGAATGTAGCTCAGTGGTAGGGTGCTTGCCTAGCGCGCTGAAGGCCCTGGGTTCAATCCTTAACTATCTAATTAATTAAAACTCTTAATAGAAAAAAACTTTATGATACTAGATTTCACAATTGTTTTGTGGCTATGACACCAAAAACAGGCAACACAGGGAAAAAAAATCAATAAATTGGAACTCATAAAGATGTAAAATATAAACTGGACGTGGTAGCACACGCCTTTAATCCCAGAACTTGGGAGGCAGAGGCAGGCAGATCTTTGTGAATTCAAGGCCAGCCTGGTCTACATAGTGAGTTCCAGGACAACTGGGGCTACAGGGAGACTCTGTCTCAAAAAGACCAAAAAATTAAAAAAAAAATAAATACAATAAAAATTAAGAATACTTGTGCACCAAGGGACACTATCAAAAAATGAAAAGGAAATCCACAGAAGGGGGAAAATATTTGCAAATCACGGCCTGGAGAGATAGCTCAGTGGTACAGAGCATTGGCTGCTCTTGCAAAGGACCCGGGTTTGAATGCCAGCACCTATGTGAAGGCTAACAATCATCCAATGCCTTCTTTTGACCTCCATGGGCATTGCATGACACGGGTGCACTAACACACATGCAGGAAATACACTCATACACATAAAAATAAAATTTTAAAAAGAATAAATAATCGCCGGGCATGGCGGTGCACGCCTTTAATCCCAGCACTGGGGAAGCAGAGGCAGGTGGATCTCTGAGACAGCTGGGTTGATGGCTCAGTGGGTAAAGTGTTTCCCTCCAGCCACCATGCTTTTCAGGGGAGACTGTGAACATAGTCCTCCACTACCACAAATTATGCAGTCAAGTTTCCAGCATTTAAGGAAACTGCAGGGGTCAGCACATCTGGAATACCATGGATGGCCCTCACCACGGGGAACCACCTTCCTGATCACGGTAGCTCTGCTGCCAGGTAAGTATTCCAGTATTCCAACTGCCTTTTTGTTTGTTTTGGTTTGATTTGTTCGGGTTTTTTGAGATAGGGTCTCCCTGTAGCCCCAGCTGGCCTGGAACGCACTATGTAGACCAGGCTGGCTTGGATCTCACAGAGATCTGCCTATCTCTGCCTCCTGAGTGTTGGGATTAAAGTTATACACCACCATACATGCCTTGGCTTCCAACCACCTTTTAAATTTTTTGAGACAGGGCCTTACTATGTAGCCCAGGCTACCCTCAAACTCACAGCAACCCTCTAGTATCAGCCCCACCTCTGGAGTGCTAGGATTATAGCTGGGCCACCAGCCTGGCTGCTTTTTAATATCTGAAAGATGGTGTTGTTGCTATGCTGTCTAGGCTGGGCTTCAACTCCTGGACTCCAGCAAGTCTCCTGCCTCAGTCTCCCGAGTAGCTGGGACCGCAGGCGCTCCACACTGTGCTTTCCTACCCTCACTTGGTGACGTCCTTTGAGGCACTTGGGTTCTGTTTTCATCCAGTCCAGGTTATGTTATTTCCAGGTTATGTTGCTTGTGCAACTAACTGTGCAAGGAACCATGCCTGTGACAGAGGCCCAATGGTTCTGTCTCCTTCCAGGTGTCGCATCACTTTTAGCACCTCTGTCTCGGTAGTGGCCCACTTTGGAATTCTTTTTTTAATTAATTTATTTTTATTTTATGTGTATGAGTGTATTGCTTGCATGTATGTAAATGCACCCGTGTCATGCAATGCCCACCGAGGACAGAAGAGGCTGCTGGATTCCCTGGGACTGGAGTTGTGGACGGTTGTTAGCCGCCATGTGGGTGCTATGATTCGAACCCCAGGTCCTCTGCAAGAGCAGCCAGTGCTCTTAATGGCTGAGCCATCTCCAGCCCCCCATTTTGGGATTCTTGATTCCTCTTCACTGACTTGTGCGTCTAGTAACCTAGTACCAGTACCATGCCTTCTCGATTTCTGGGACTGGCCTTCAGTTCACAGCCCTCTGCTCTCCCTACTGAGTGGCAGGGATTACGGCTCCCGCAAAGACCTGTGCTTTCCTCAGTGCTGCTCTTGCTGTGCTGGAGCCGTTGAAATTTTCCCTTTTTGGAGGGGGTGTTGCACTTGTCCTGTGTGCACATGTGGAAGCCAGAAGTCAGGATCTGGGGTCTCCTCTCTCGCCCCACCTTATTTTTGAGACTGGGTCTCTTGTGGAACACGGCGGTCACTGCTTCAGCGAGGACGGCCAGCAAGCCTCTGGGATCCTCCTGTCTCTGCCTCGCCAGCTCTGGGGTAGCAGGTGTGCCCCGCCACACCTGGATGTTTTTGTGAGTACTAGGGTCTGAATCCAGGTCCTCAGACTTGCACAGCAAGCACTTTACCCACTAGGTCATCTCCCGGCCCCTGATCCTTTGAACTTGTAAAAATCCAGTTTGTGAATTTGCACGAAACAGCCAGCAGGGGGCGACAGAGATGGTGCCTACTATGTGGCTGGACGGACTGGAGAGTATTTTGGATTTGTAAATGTTTTCTCTTCCTTCATCTCTGTTGTTTGGTAAATATTGCCATCTCCTCCGATCCATCGATGTGGATGCCTTTCCCTGTACTTGGGTCTTTATTTTTTTCAATGTGTGATGATCATTGTCAGAGTCAAGTTTTGTTAGTTTCTTCCTATTTTAGTGTTTTAGTTGTCCTGTAAATGGGACTTTTTCTTAACTTTTGGACTACTGGTTGCAACTGTAAGTTTATGTTGGAATTTTTACCACTAAAGTTGTTCTGAAGATTAATTTTTAATTATATGTATGTGTGTTTGTGCAAGTGAGTGCAGTGCCCTTGGAGGCCAGAAGAGGGTATGAGATCTCCCAGAGCTGGAGTTACAGGCCACTGTAAGACATCTGATGTAGGCCTTGGGAGCCGGACTCTGGTCCTCTGCAGAAGCAGCAAGTGCTCTTAACTGCTGAGTCATCTATGCAGCCTCCCAAATAGTTACGAAAAAGTGTTTACTGTGTGAACTGTGTTAGGCACAGCACGCATGTGGAGGTCAGAGGACAACTTGCACGGATTCTCTCCTTCCACTCTGGGACCTGGGATTGAACTCAAGTTATCTGGCTTTGCAGCACGTGCCTTTGCCTGCTGAGCCATCTTGCTGGTCCCACAATTGATTCTTGTCTATCGATCTCATACCTCCTCGTACCGCACTTTCGTACTTCTGTTGTTCTGGCTGACTCATGCATGCAGGTGGAGAACAGGGCAAAACCGGAGGCAGGTGCCAGCTGGAAGGGGTGACATTGTATGGTGGGGGAGGTGGGGAGGTAGTGGTGGGAAGTGAGTGGACCTGATCCATAGGGCTACGATGGGTGTGAGGAACAGGAACCATCACCGACAAGCCTGGCTTTCCACCTAGAGCCCAGGTTTCCTGGGACTGGGGAAGGATGTGGCACTTGGACACGTGGCTTTGATGTGCTTTAGAAGAGGCTTAAGAAGCAGTTGAGTTGCACGCCTTTAATCCCAGCACTTGAGAGGCAGAGGCAAAGCCAGCCTGGTCTACATAGTGAGTTCCTGGTCAGCTGGGGTGGGGGTGGGGGTACAAGGAGATCCTGTCTCAAAAAGACCAAAAAAAATAAAATTAAATAAATAAATAAATAGGCAGTTGACTAAGCAAGCTATCCATCTCTAGGCTGAAGTAAAATCTGAGTTATTAGGGACCCTGCAGAGAATAGAGCAACTGGCCCAGGACAGCCACAGGAAGCTGGATTATACAGGGGTGGTGGAAGGCTGGAGAATAATGTCCTACTGTGACTAAGCCACTCAGATTAGGGAGAAGAATCAAGCCCCCAAAGGTGGCAGGTAACTAGGGACAGTTGGGACAGTTGAGAGGCCACCCTGTCAAAGGGAGACGTTTTTTTGGAAACATGGTCTGGTCTCATGTAGCCCAGGCTGGCTTTGAGCTTTGAACACCTGATTATCTCTCCACCTCCCAAATGCAAGGACCACAGGCATGTGCCAGCTTGAGGGCCTTGTAAGGGGAAGAGTTGAGCACTCCTGACTGCCAAAGGATGGGGCTGGTGAGGGGAGAGGTGAGGATGTGGATAAAGCCACAGCAAGGTCTCTGAAAAGGCGGCAGAGGAGAGGAGGGGGCCAGGCCAGCTCAGACCTGAGGGAGACGGGAAGGAAGTTGTGCATACGGCATGCGCCAATATTCCTGGTGGCTCTCTCTTCTTCCGCCATGCCCCTCCTGTCACTGAGGAAACCAGTATTCCATCTCTATAGACATTGGAGTGGAGGGTGATTTTCAGCCCTCAAGGGCCAGAGCTACTGATAATCACTTTGCAGTGCTCCTCTAGAAAGGCTGATGCAGTGTGCTGAGATTGTTCCGCTCCACAGATCTGTTTTAATGAACAGATTCTTCATTCTATACAGGTCAGCCATTGCCTTGCAAATGGGGAAGGAGCAGCTCCTAAGTGGGTCACTTCTACCTTCCCAACTGCTGAGCAAGCTTCCCCTTAGAGGCAAAGGGGGTGGGCAGGCCAGAGCCGGGGGCACAGGGCTGGGTTCCCAGAAAGACCAGGAAGCCTGTGATGTCATAGCGGTTCTCCCGACCCTCCGCAGTGGCACAGGTCTACAGGAAGGCCTCCACATCTTTTCTCCTCACACCTCCCAAAAATGCAAAGACTATAGGCATTCATCCAGCACTTTGCTTAGGAGCCAGAGGGAGCACCTGACAGATTCTGGTGAAGGTCTGCCAGAGGCAGGTGCCCGTGGAGAAGGCAGTGGAGGGTGGCGAGGGCTCCCCGGGGAGGCTGGCCTGGAGGGTTATTCTCAGAAAGGGGTATCTGAGTTAGGCATCTCTATGGACCACAGCACACACAGCCCGCTTCAACACAGACAGAAGGCCCTGGCCCCCGCTCAGGCCTGGCAGCTCTTTGATTCTAGAACACTATCAGGCCAGCTTTTTGGACCATTACGACTCCCACCAAAGACAGCTGCCATGACTGGACCAGCCAGAGATAACCCACAGTGTGACAGGCCTTGTGTACACTAAGTGCACTGGTCCTTGGGGGTCAATGTCCACTGGAGAGCTGGCTTTTGGACATCCTCTTTTGGACTGTTGCAGGTCCCTTCCCGGGTCCATGTGGAAGTTCCAGGGCCAGTTAGCATTCACTGCATACTCACTGTGCCCAGGCTGGACCAAGTACCAACAAGCTTAGTAAATGGGGTTCACATGCTCAATACATGAACCCAGGGGGTCTCCTTGGCCTCACTGTAGCCACCAGCTTCATGCTGGGAAGCTCAGCCAACACGAGGCTGCAGAAGGTTCCAGAAGCACGTCTCAGAAGTGGACCAGCCCATGGATCCAGTGAGCTCCCCTTAGCGGAACACCATGGGCCAAGTGACTCTCTGAGGACTGATCACTAGGCCTTGACTCTGCAGGTGAGCCTGTGGTCAGACCCTAAAGCCCCAGCTTTCCCAGTGCCAAGCTGGATTACAGCTTGCACACAGGGCTCATGTGCAGGCAGCCCAGTGTCATTCCTAGCTGGGACACTCAAGGTAGCTGTGGGGAAGGAGGACCTGGAACATCTATTTAAGCTAGCCGCCTCCTTCTGTCTCCTTGCAAACAGAGCCTGTGGTGTGGCTTGAAGAAGTACCCCTCAGCACGCCAGCTGGAAACCAACCCTGCATCCATGAAGGGCCGGGTCAGAGCCGCAGTCGAAGCATCACCAAGGAGTCCCCTCAACCTCGCCCTGCACTGCTGGGAGGCAGGCACATGCTCAGCACCCAAAGACCTCCAAGTCAGTGAGAGCCACTGGTTTTCCTAATCCCCAAGGTGGCTTCCTAGTCTTTCTCAATCGCCCCCAGGCTCTGCAATCCCCCCTCCTGGAGTCTGAGGACTCGGTCCTTCCTCCCCCTCGCCCCCACCCCCTTTCCCTCCTTCCTCCTCCTCCAATCCAAGGTCAATGACCAGCGTATGGCCCAAGCACTGTTGAAGCAAAACTGTGGCCAACTGACATGCATTCTAAAGCTTCACAGAGCACAAGGGGCATCCAGCATTACCACAAACAGAAGAAACCAGAGCCCTGTTCGGAGCCCAGACTATGCCAGGCTCTGGACTCCATTCTCTTCCCTTCAAGGAGATCTGGGTTCTTTCACTGGCTGCCTGGGGGTGGGGACAAATGAGCACTTTCTTCAGGTTCTGCTGCTTCTAGATCTCAAGGCCAGGCTTCGGACAGATGAATCACACAATCTGCTGCAATCTGCCACCAGAGAGGCCAGCCGCCAGGGACTCTGTGCCACTCACCCCCAGCAGCTCTGAGCAGGAAAGGAACCTGTGGTGGGGGCTCTGGATGGGGGCATGGGATGTGTTCTACCTGGGCTGGGGGCCCAGAACTGCATACGCACTGCCAAGAAAGAAGCCTGCCTGCACTTGTATTTATTTGTGCATGTGTGTGCAATATGGGTGTGCATGTAGAGCCACAGCTTGACACTGGGGGTCTTCCTCTATCACCCCCTACCTTGTGTTGGGACAGGGTCTCTTGTCAGACCCAGAGCTCACAGACTGGCTAGGCTAGCTAACCAACAAGCTCCTGGCCCCCACCCCCACTCTCCCCAGCACTATGGCCACAGGCACCCACTGTCACACCTGGCTTTTACATGGGTGCTCAGGATCCAAACTCTTGAGTGTGTGGCTGGCATTTTACCCATTGAGCCATTGCTCCAGCCTAAAACTGCATTAAAAGATGAATTTCGCCGGGTGTGGTGGTGCATGCCTTTAGTTCCAGCACTTGGGAGGCAAAGGCAGGCGGATCTCTATGAGTTCAAGGCCAGTCTGATCTACATAGTGAGTTCCAGGCCAGCTGGGGCTACAGGGAGGGAAACCCTGTCTCAAAAAACAAAAAACAAAAAAAGATGAATTTCACTGTACGAAAAACGCACAGCTGAAAACAATCCTAGTAAAGTGAGAGGTTGGAGATGACTTACAATGCTTTGCGTCAAGCAGGATGTCCGATTCCCACAGGGGACAAGAGACAGAGTGACTGGATTACTGGCACCAAGAGGAGGGGGCCTGTCACAGTGTGGGCTTCACTCCACGTTCTACTGTCACCTCTCCCAGTAGGAGCAGTGAGGGTCCCCATCTAGGCGTCTGCCGGGTCTGGGTGTCTACAACTGGACCCTGACCAGCGGTTTGCACTTCCACCACAAACCCAGCAGAGCTCTCTACCAGGTGGGAATACTTGGGTGGGGGGGGGCAGACAGCTAATTTAATGAACAAAAATCACAAGGAAGATATTTTGAGAGAGGTGGAGGGCAGGGAGCACCCAGGAGTCCCTGGCGTCACAGACATGCTCCCAGCACAGAATCTTTATTGGATATGTTTGCATTGACACGAGAGCCCCACACAGTGGCCAACCTGGCCAATCCCGAACCCATCCCCATCCCCATCCCTGTACATACTCAATGATTAGTGCTAAGAACACCGAGGGCCCCTGCACCGTTGCCTAAGCAAGACAGGCACAATAGCCTGAGTTCTGCAGGTGAGACATTCAGACTATACACTTAGTTGGACGTCTTTCTGGGTCATGTGACTAGGTCAATCTAACGCACAATTTAGAAAAGTCGCTTTAAGTGGTCAAGAGTACCCTGTGTGGACAGGCTTTCTGGCCCTGCGGTAAGAGACTTTCAATGCTAAGGCTGACCTTCTGGCTCCCCAACCTCAAATCCAATTCTGAATGAGTGTCCTGTCTTGGGGGCAGCTAGCCTGGCTGTGCTCTCCCTGCTGTCCGAGTCCTACCAGGTCCCCTCACAAGCTAGTCCTCTCCCTTGGTGGACTCTCTTTACAGTGCTTGGGAGGGGCAGTGCCTCTCCCATGCCCAGGCAGGGAGCCACCTAAAAGCACGACGCTTTCCCAGCTCAGTTGGCCTAGACCCGAGGTCCAGGTGTTGACAGCCATTAGCACCGACTTTGGGGCATGTCTTTTTAAAGCCTTCCTGCCCAGACATCCTAGAGAAAGCTGGAGTAAAGAGCAGACCTTTGAGAACACTGGTCGGTCCTAAATGAATACTTTGGATAGCCAAGGTAGTAAGTCTAATGGCCAATTAATTTTCTGAGTCCTAGTGGGAAGACCAGTAGCAGTGAGAGCAGCGGGCCTCTGGGCAGCATACTGTGATATGCTCAGGCCTGGGGCAGGGCAGAGCTAGTGTGCAGCTGAGGTGGGTGGTGGGGTGTAGAAGCAGACTGGGGAGTGGGCTAGGATCTGTTTCCTCTGAGAACCAGCAGCTTGGCAGCAGGAAGCATGAGCTGTTCAACTGTTCTCCCGGGTTTGTGGAGCTGGGCCAGGAACCTCATCAGACTGTTTAATGCTTGGAGAGCCTTCCTCGAGGAACACACTTCAGGATGGGAGGAGGTGGCCAGAGGCCATTGAAAATTAACAAAGGTAACTTTGACCTGATTCCTCTTCTGCAAAGGCTGGCTCTTGTAGTGGAATCTAAAGCAACGTGGGCATTTCAGTGTGGGGGACGATCACCACACTCTCCAAGGCCATAATGAATGCTGTTAGTTTGCCCTCTCTTGATGTAATTCTCCCTGGTTTGGAAAATCCATCCTGCACCCAAGTCGTGGGGAGAAAATGCTGCAATGCACCAAGCCTGCAGCTGGATATTCTCAGGGTGAGCTGAGTGGGATCAGGCAGGAGGGAGAGGAGGAGGGAACGGGGTGGTGAAGAAAAAAGGGAGAGGAGGGTGAGGAGGGTGAAGAGGAAGGGGAGGAAGAGGAAAGGAGGAGGGGGAGGAAGTTGTAGAGAAGGGAGAAGAGGAATGAGGAGGAAGAAGGAAAGGGGGAGGAGGGGGGAGGGGGGATGACTCAGTGGCCAAAGGCAGTGGCTGTGCAATCTGGTGACATGAGTTCTTTTCCCAGAATCCACATAATGGTGGAAGGAAATAACCAGCTCCACAAATCTGTCCTCTGACATCCACATACATACTGCAGCAAGGAGGAGGAGAGGGAGGGGGAGGAGGAAGAGGGAGGGGGAGGAGGAAGAGGGCAGAATCCTGAAACGTCAGTTTGGGAAGGACAGCAAATCTTGTCACAGATTCTGTGAAGTGTCTTAGAAGGCCATGTTGTCCTGGCTCACTAGCTGTGTAGGGGAGGGGAGTGGGGGAGAGAGGGCAGAGACACCCAGGTATTTTTCTCTTAAAATGGTTTCTTGAAAAAACTGAAGAGACTCAGTATGATAAAGGATCTTGATCCTGCAGTGAGCTGCTCCTCCTGGGACTGAACCCTGGGCTCACCAGTCACACTGAACATCAGACAATACTCTGCTTCTCAGATGCTAAAGCACAGAGGGTCCAGAAACAGGCTGATCAAGTCCTTCTGCACTGTCAAGACTCAGGATTAAGAGATCAACACTACTCATGTTGTCCAAGAAGTACTTTTCTAGCAAAACCCACACTTTATTAAATGTCACAGCCAGTGGCTTCCAGTCCACAGACTCTGAGGGAAGCAGGGCATCTCCAGCACGCAGAAGAGGAGGAACAGAATGGAGCTATAAATACCACAGTGGCAGTGCACCCCGGGTCTTTTTTGCCCAGCCCCTTAAAACACAGCAAGGGCTTCACTTGTTTAAACTCTGTGCTGAGCTAGGAGGGCTGAGATGGGCTGCATAGCACTGGATCCCAACAGATATCGCCACCTAAGGGGACCACTGAATGCTGGCTCACAGCTCAGCAGTAGAGAGCTGAGACACATTCACAGAGCAGAATGGAGAGCTAAAGGATTTTTTTTCCTTTTCCAGCCTGGACACCATGCCCAGCTTCCCACAGGTTAGACTTCCCTCCTGCCAGCCTGACTTCCTACCTACCAGCAGTTACAGGGCAGGACTTGGGCAGGACTCTGCTGTGGTCAGCCTGGTCTGTCTGTGCAGACTGTCCCCCTACAGCCCCTTAGACATCATGCTGAAACCAAGATGCCTGTGGGTAGGTTGCAAACAGCCTCCCTCTAGAGGCAGAAGCACATCTCGGAGTGCCAGTTTAGGCACATAGAGTTCATGGGCACAGCCGGGCGTGGTGGCGCACGCCTTTAATCCCAGCACTGGGAGGCAGAGGCAGGTGGATCTCTGCGAGTTCAAGGCCTGCCTGGTCTACATAGTGAGTTCCAGGACAGCTGGGGCTACAGGGAGACTCTGTCTCAAAAAAAAAAAAAAAAAAAAAAAAAAAATTCCCATGTACCTCCAATTTACACAGCCCCAAGTTAACTTAAAACAAAAACCAGTAAGAATTAAAAAAGGAGAAAAAAAAGATGTCCCTTAATGACTCCTCTAGACCGGTCTATCTCTCCTGAGGACAGACACACAAACACTTCTCTGGAATGTCGGCATGGTGGCGGGCTGCTGGGCCTAGGTGTCAAGAGGAAGCTGCTTCCTAAGCAGTGGCTTGGGACAGGAAGTGGTGGGGAAGGGGAGACAGACGCAGCACTGTTTTCTGACCCGAGACTTTTCAGCTTCCAAACCTACGAAGGTGATGACCACCCCATCCCACCGCTGCTACCTCACCCTTCTGAGCTGGGACAATGTGACTGTCACATCGCAGGTATGACTCACGCACAAACCCAAGCCCAGGCAGAGTTGGGCTGCGGCTTTTGGAAATGACCCTCCCAGCTGCTCCTGGGCACTAAGCAGCTTTCCTGCAGGGCAGTGTGCTGGTCATCTGCGCTGAGTCACAATGTGCCTTCTAAGCTTGCCTGAGCTCAAGGCTGCTCCCTGCAGCATGTACCCGCGTTCTTGCTCTGGGCATTCAGGAGACTGTGCCACCCAAGCCCGGCAGGAGCCAGTTCAATCGCACTCACTTCCTGCCCGGAACTGGGCCTTGGGGACCAACTCAGCAATTCCTCTACTTAGCACTCCCGCCGGGCCCACGGGCAGGCTTTGGAAGATACAGATTTGCCTTACTTAAGTACCTGCTCAGACAATACCTCTGCCCCCAGCTGCTCCGTAAGGAAAGCACTGTTTTCTCTGTTTCTGTTCATAAAACGACGCCACGGCTGTAAGAAGTCAGGCTGTGCTGCTCCTGACAGGCAGGGTCGGGAGTCAGCAAAGCTGACTGGAGAATACTGGAGCTCTAAGATCCCTCTCTCCCCTCTGCCAGGCAACACCGAATAGGACTGGAACCCTCTCGTCCCCACCAGAAGGGCTGTGGTCTGGGCAGTGGTCCTAACAGTAACGGGTGCCTCTGAGGACGGAGCTCTGGGGGCTCTCAGTATGCCCGGCAGCACCAGGTCCCACCAGTTCCCTGGCACAACCAGGAGCTGAACGAAGTTTAGGGCAATGCTTGGGACTACAGGCCTCGGGCAGGTGCTACACTGGGTTCCGTTTTCTAAAATACTTTTTTGTTCTTGTTCCCCAAAGGCAGGCATTCTCTCTTTCTTTCTTTGTAGCCTTGGTAGACATCTGACCACTTTCCAAAACAATTTTTTTCCTGGTACTAGGAATTGAACCCAGGGCCTTGTGCATGGGAGGCAAACACTGAGCATATCCCCAGCTTCCAGAGCACTGTGACCCAAGGACTCACCCTCCCCACCACCAAGGTCCCTTTCTGAGGGGGTGGCCACTGGGGGCCCCCTGTGCAGACCCCAGCTCCCAGTTTACAAGGTAAATCAGACGGCTTCTCCTCTCCTGCTCTCCGCCTCCTGCCCACCAAGGGACAGTCCTAGCTGCCGCAGCCTGCCGCAGATCCGGATTCCCCAAGAGTACAAAAGCAGGTGTCACAGCACCTGGCTCCACTACGAGCTCAGCGATGTCACTGTGGGCCAAGTCCTGTCAGGAACTCCTCGCTCACCAATCAGACTAGGAACAAGTTAGTTTGCACTGACAGCGCGTCCCCAGAGCTGGCTCGGTCACGCGGTGCCTTCCCAGTTACCCTGGGGCTCCACAGCGCCATTGGTCACCTTCTTGACCTTCTTCATGTTCTCCATCACCCCTGATGTTGTCACCCTGAGAAAGAGAAGAAGCCAAAACGATTAGGGAACTCGTACAAGCCTACAGTAAAGGCTCTCAGACCAAGGTGGGATCCTGGCCCTCTCCCTGGAGCTGTGTGGAGTTGCCCAGATCACTTGACCTCTCTGAGCTCAACTACAATGACTCCTTACCTTCCAGAACTTCCCCAGGGGCCTAATCAAGACGTCACCACAGTCACCATGAACTTTCTCTGCTCTGCTGTGGCCTCCATAGCTTTTACACTGCACATATATGATCACTAGGGTCATGAGACATTCAGAAAAGAAAGCTAACCAGCACACAGACACCTGTACCAGCGAGACTCAGTGGATGGTCCCAAGACACGGGACAGAGACACAGGCTCTGGGCTCCAAACTGCCAACTACATACAGTTAACCTACTGCTTCTGCAAACCCAGACCCTGGCTTCTGCAGCACGTGGCCTCTGCCGACTGAGATCCGAGGCAGATGCCTTGTTCTGCCCGCTGTGCCTGGCACCGAGGCTCCGTGAAGCCAGTCACTGAACATGCAAACTAAAAATAGAAGGCTGGACTGAGGAGCCAAGTGAGGAGCCCTTCCCACCATGAGGAGCAGCCCCAGTGCTGACGGGCGGTGTCGGAGAAGACCTCTTCTCATCGCACACTGGATGAGCTGGACAGAGCCGAGGGGCCTTCATCAGCCAGGGCACTGCACAGGTCCGTGGGTGGCAGGGGACACCACGCAGAGACACCAGCTGCTGAACCCAGCCGCTAATCATTCGCCTCCTTTTCTCATTGGTCCACGGTCTGCACAGGCTCTCCCAGAAACCAGCCTGTCCCACCAAGTATGCAGTTCCCTTGACCTATACATGGTGACAGTGGCCTCATCTGTCACTAGCTCTCATGGGCCGAAACTCCCTCTTCTTCCTCCCTCACGGTGCTGCCGGAACCAGCCTCAGAGCCCAGAGACTCCCAGCCTCTCCAGATTCAGGTGAGGCTGGGATATGGTGTGTCACTGGAACATGGGTCTTGGGGGGCTGAGGGGCTCTCGCTATGCTGCTGGCAGGCAATAAACTGGAGCGGGGCTGAGGAGGTCGGTGTGAGAGCCAAGGCCATCATCCCTTCCCCTTCTCCCTCCCCCTGCCCTGCTGCCCCCACCTTCCCCCATCACCTGGCTCTGCTTCTGGTGCCCACTGTTCATCTCACCCACCCCCCTTCTAGGCTCATTCTGTCTCTCTTCCTCATGGCCTGGCACAGCTGCCCAACGACCCGGAGATCCCCAGCCACTCGAGGCCACCTGGCACAGGCCTTCTTTTCAGAACCTCGACCCTCCTCTGCCTTCCGCCTACCTGGGAAGCTCCATCTCATCTTTCAGTCCTGTGTCCATCACACTAGGCCAGCTGAGTGCTATCAGATGGTTCCTAGCATCCACCTGCCCGGTTGGGCTGTGCTGCTCCTCTGAACCCCTCCCTAGCTGTGGCCTCCCACTGAGCGGCAACAGAACTCATGTCAGAGCGCTCTGGGGTGGTTCTGCCAGCTTAGAAAGTGGACAGGAAGAAGGCAACAGCTGCCACAGATGAGGGGCAGAGACGTAAGGTCGGGCCAGTCACCCCATCAAGTGAGGAAAGTGTCCCAAGCAGCTCCCCAAGTGTGGCTGCTGGGCCTGGGAGAGCAGGGACGACAGCCTGACAGCAAATGAGAAAAGTGCAGCTCTGAGCAGGAGAGGACGTGGACTGGTGGGCGGGGACCTGAAGCCTGGCGAGGCACAGCAGCTGGAGCTGGAGGCTGGGGACGACCAGTGCTCGGGCCATGGAGTACCAGGGAGAAAGGCAGTCTGGGAGGAAGGAGTATGGGAGCCCAGGAGGATGCTGGAGGTGGAAGATGGATTCCCTGAGCAGGAGCTGCTGGAGTGACCACAGGCATGAGACCGATGACAGATACCAGGGGAGGGGTGCTGCCTCCGGGTTCCCAGCAAACTTCTGGAAGGTCAAAGGAATGCCTAGTGCCTGGAGCTGCAGGCAAGCCTGGACAGCCCTGTAGACCAGGACTCCTGCACCCAGGATGCCTCATCAGAGAAAGGAGACCTGGAAAAGATCAGCACTCCAAAGTCCCTAGGTGGGCAGAGTGCAGAACGCACAAAGGCGGGGCTCTGGCAGGAGGCGGGGCTCTGGCAGGAGGCGGGGCTCTAGCAGGATGTGGGGGTTGAGCTGCAGGTACCACCCTGTGGGTTGTTTCCATGCAAATAGCCCAAAGGGCCACAAAATCCACATGCACAGCCTACACCTTGCCCATTGGCTCTCGGGGTTCTGTGCAGGATAGAGGGTGCTCTAAAAGCTCAGGGCTGGGCAGTGGAGCTGTAGCTCTATGGATCGTGGTCACGGTGCCCCTGTCCACTGATGGGAAGTGAGGCCTCCCTCAGGGCCACAGCTCCTAAGCAGGTCTGAACAGCAGAATTTCCCACAAGGCCAGCCAGGTGAGCCTGTGGAGGAGCCCACTCTGCCCCTTTCCTCCTGTATCTACATGATGATTCTTTCCTGACAAAACCCGAGTCTCTGTCCTGTCAACCAAATAGAGAATGAACTTGAACAGTTTTTTTCCATCTCGCTGGGCTATAAGCAGATGGCTCAGGTTGACGCAGCCCATGGATTCATCTGTTTCTGCAACTAAAACATGTTTGAGGCTTACAATATGGTAAGACTTGGGTAAGAGGGGAGTCCGTTCACTCTGATTCTTCTGTATCTGTGTGGAATGCAAGCAGGAGGTAGGACAAGGTCAGCACAGACACTAGGGCCACATTCTGGAATGGAAGGCTCAGGAGACAACCTCTGACTCCTACTCCACCCCACATGCCACCTACCCCACATCAGAAACAATGGAATTGTGAAGGGTGTGCACAGACGGCAGACACTACAAGGCTGGTCAGTGAGATGTCACCTCATACATTCCAACCTGCTCAATTTTTTATAATAAATCCTGTTATTAAACTGACAGACACAGAGAGATGTCAAAGAAACAAGAGGGACTTCTGACTGTGCCCTCCTTCCCTGGCTTGGACGACAGGCCTGGTGGGGCGATGGCCACAGAAGTGCCACAGGCAAGCCTTGGCCAGCAAACTGACGGAAACCCCCTGCCCCCACCCCAGAGGAACAAGGCTCGGTGTGGGGTTCACCACAGGCACTTACTTGACACACACACTGTCCTCTCATGATTCAGCTCCACACACAGGAAGAATCGGGGAAGGAAATGAACCAGGACCCTGGTCAGAACAGGGAGTGGCCCAGGCCAGAGGTTTTGAGCCCACTAGTGAGGCTTGTTAGGAAGGCTATAGACATGTTGAGGGTGTGTGTAACAGGAGGGAACACAGGGATAATTACTTCCCACAAACAGGCTTTCTTCTGTGGTAGCATCAGACCTAGTTATATGCTAGACACCAAGATGGCTGACAATTTACAGACAGCTAATGACCTTCTAGAATATTGAGGCCAAAGCTCTACTTGCCTCTGGTTTGAGTTATTTCTGGAGGATTTAAGAGGTGTCATCCAAGAACTAGCTCCTGAGCAGAAGAGGGAGCTGCCAGCCCCAGGTACTGAGCTGTGGAGCAGGCAAGCTCCCTGCAGGTGAGCACTGGAGGCCAGTGTGGCACCTCCAAGGTCTGTTCTGCCTTCATGTCCCCCACCCTAAGAACCTTCTCGACAGTTCCTCCCTCCCTGCCTGCCACTCTGCTCCCTCTCTCTTCTCTTCTTCAGCAGTGGGGGTGGGATCCAGGGCTCTCTGCCCATGAGCTCAGCTTATCTAAGCAAACAGCATCCTTAGCTAAAGATACCCCAGGAGTCCCAGTCCAGTTTCCTTGCTGAGCTAAGGTACTTTGTGTCCATCAGCTCCCGAGAGCCTCCGCTTCACATCAGAGCCCCAACTGACCGGGTACTTGCTGGCGATGCTACTGTGTTCGATAAAATCCGTGGGTCTGACTGTGCGGCTGCTCTACACAGAGCCCCTTTGCTGCCGCAAACTCCTGTCACTGTCGTGATGCAGCTTCATGAAGCCTCAGAAAAACAGCTAGCATGATCTGAGCTCTAGACCCTTGTTACAGAAGTGTTAAGCCGAGGCCACCAAGGGATCACCCCATCTCCAATATTCCTACTTCTCTGTGCCTTGTCAGAGTGAAGAACATGCTCTCTCTGGCTCCTACAAGGCTGGGGTATATGCACCCCCCCCCCCAGATTTGGACACACTCAGCCCTGCCTGCGGGATGGTTCACTCTTGTTAGATACTGTCACAGGGGAAACGACACAGAGCAAAACTTTAACACACTGCCATGAAACATACAATCTGCAAGGCACAAAGGCCAAGGATAAGAACACAGGGCAGAGAATTCCCACCAGGCCATTCTGAAGCTCAGCTCTGTGATCCAGCCACTCAGTCAAGTGCAGGGTCTCTCACAGGGAGGGTCAGTAAAGTGATTTCAGCTGAATTTGTGCCTCTTCCAAAAGTCACTAGCTCAGACTCCGCTCGCTACTTCTGGAAAACACACAACTGCTAGACCTCCTGCTCCCCCACCGTCTGCATTTCTCCATAGGGAGACAAGACACTGTCAGGGCCATCCCCAGAGCACACCCTGGGATAATCAATCATCTCAGTGCAGAGGCCAGCACAAAGTGCTGCCCCACATAGCCTGAGCTGCCTGACAGCTGGGCAAAGCCCAGCTGGGCTGGACCTGAGTCTGAGTCGTCAAAGGACAAAAGGCTGCCGCAGGGCAGTGGGACGCTGGCCTGACCTGACCACCAGAGCCGGAGCAAACACACAAGTCATGGCCCACCAGGAAAATGACTGCTCTTGCCTGAAAATAAGACCACGTCGTCCCTCACCCTGTGATGCAGACCAGGCCAAGGTTTTATCTGCTGCCAACTGAGCACTGGCAGCAGACCGCAACTGACTCAGAAGATGTCATTATCAGACACCAGCGGCAATACTTGCAGCCTGACAGTCTGTCAATGATCCTGACTGGCCAAAGACATTCCTAAATTCTTGCCAGTGGATCACGAGGAGCTATTCCAAAGGTGCTTGACGGGATGGCAAGTCCTAGTTTACCTGACTAGACCGAGCAGCGGCCAGTAAACACTGCACTTCAAGCTAGCTAGGCACCAGGGTTCAAGTGAACACATCCTTCCACTGAAAATACAGGTGCCACCTTGGTGCCACAGGACACTGAGAACAGACCCCTCACACTGCACCTCTCAGTCCAGTCGAGGAAGAATGAGGAAGGGGCGTCTTACACAGATTCCATCTCCAGGTCGTCTTCCTCCTGAGACAGCTGTAGGTAGGGGTTATCTGATGCTGGGCGGAATTTATACCCCGTCAGGACAAAGAACACCAGCGTGGCTGTTTCATCCAGAAGCTGCAAATTTAAAATTCAGCCCAAGATAAAGAGATTAACAAGGCTGCTCTCGAAGGCACAGTGGAACTAAACAAGCCCACGGCTCCCTCGTAGTCCCTAGTGGTGCCCTCCCTCACAGTGCCCCAGGTGGCTGCTCCTAAGTGCTTTCTCAGCTCTGCTGAGGTCCACACCAGGAGCACTCTGTCCAGAGGAGACACTGAGGAATGTCTCCATGGGAATCCGCTTTCTTTTCTCTTTTCTGACGAGGGGGTCTTGCTATATATCTCAGGCTGGCCTTGAACTCTGTCCTCCTGCCTTGGTCTCCTCAATCTGGGGTTAAGGCCTGCACCACCAGGCTGGCTCACCTCACACTCTGCCGCACGGTGCCCAAAGCACCAAGCAGTTGCTCAAGAGCAAGTCTGTGTTTGTTTATTCTTCCATTTAGTGTTTTGGAGACAGGGTCTCACTATGTAGCCTTGGCTGGCCTGGAATTCACTATGTAGACCAGGCTAGTCTGGAACCAGAGATCCACCTGCCTCCTGAGCGCTAGGATTAAGTGTTTATAACCAGGATTAAAAGTGTTTATAACCAGGCCCCAGCCCAAGTCTTTAAAAAGAAATTTTTTTTGGGGGGGGGGTCTTTTTGAGATGGGGTCTCTCTGTAGCCCCAGCTGTCCTGGAACTCACTATGTAGACCAGACTGTAAAAGAAATTTTTTTTGGTCTTTTTTTTTGAGATGGGGTCTCCCTGTAGCCCCAGCAGTCTTGAAACTCACTATGTAGCCCAGGCTGGCCTTGAATTCACAGAGCTCTGCCTGCCTCTGCCTCCCAAGTGCTGGGACTACAGGTGTGCGCCACCACACCTGGCTTTGTAAAAAGAAATTTTTAAAAATTTCATTTATCAATTTATTTCTTTACTTACTGTGTGTTTGTATGTGTATGGGTGTGTATATGGGTCACAGCGTAAGTGTAGTGTGTGTGGTGTGCACGTGTATATGGTGCATTAAGTATATGGTGTGTGTGTGGGTGTGTGTACACACTTTATGTGTGCATATATAGATCCAGCTAAGTGTGGCAGTTAGAGAAAACCTGCAGGAGTCAGTTCTCTCCTGCCACGTGGGTCCTGGGATGGACTCTGGATTTCAGGGTTAGAAACAGGTGCCTTTACCCACTGAGCCACCTCACTAGACCAAGAACACACGTCTCTCTCTTTTTAAAAAAAAATTAATCCTTGGGCTGGAGAGATGGCTCAGTGGTTAAGAACACTGGGTGTTCTTGCAGAAGACCTGGGTTTGAATCCCAGCACCCACATAGCAGCTAACAACTGTCTGTAACTCCAGTTCCAGGGAATCCGACAGCCTCTTCTGACCTCTGCGGGCATTGCATGACATGGGTGCACTTACCTACATGCAGGCAATACACACATATGCATAAAGTAAAAAAAATAATAATAATAAATTAATCCTTTTTTTCTTTTTTAAGATTCTTAATTTTACTTTTATTGGTGTGCGTGTGTGTGCATGTGAAGGTGGTGCCTGTGCAGAATAAAAGAGGGTGTCAGAACCCCAAGAGCTGGAGTTCCAGGCAGCTGTGAGCCTCCCAACGGAATGCTGGGAATAGAATTCAGGTCCTCTGGAAGAGCAGAAGCACTTTGGACAGCGGAGCCATCTCTCCAGCCCCCAAAACAATGGTCTAAATGCATGCACAGCACTTGGTGGTGGACTTTGGCCGATAACCAGCTATAATATCTCAGCAAGGATACTCTGTGATTAAAATGATGATGATGATGATAAAGACAATAAATAAAAACAAAAATAAGGGGCTAGAGAGATGGCTCAGCAGTTAAGAGCACTAACTGTTCTCACAGAAGATCTGGGTTCAGTTCCCAGCACCCACATGGTGGCTAACAACCATCTGTAACTCCAGTTCCAGGGGAATCCAACACCTTCTTCTGACCTCAGGCACTACACAACACAGCTGCACTTAGACACATGCAGGCCTAATACTCATACACATAAAAGAAAAATAAATAAAATATTTTTAAAAAAATGGGCTGGAAAGATGGCTCAGCGGTTAAGAACACTGACTGTTCTTCAGAAGACGCACGTTTGAATCCCAGCACCCACATGGCAGCTAACAACTGTGTGTAACTTCAGTTCCAGGGAATTCGATGGCCTCGTCTGTCCTCCGCAGGCATTGCACGACACGGGTGCACTTACATACATGTAGGCAATACACTCATACATATAAAATAAAAATAATATTAAAAAAAAAACCAAAAACCAACAAGCTGGGCGTGGTGGCGCATGCCTTTAATCCCAGCACTCGGGAGGGAGAGGCAGGCGGATCTATGTGAGGTCGAGGGCAGACTGGTCTACAAAGTGAGGTCCAGGCCCGCTTGGGCTTTAGGCAGAGCCCGCCTCACAAAGACAAAAAAAAAAAAAAAAAAAAAAAAAAAAAAAAACCTCAAACCAAGGACTGGGTGAAACACTCAAGTCCTGAAACAGAAGGCAAAGACCATGTGGCAGATGATTCTAGTTACACAGGGCAAATCCCCGCCCCCTCTCCTCTCTCTCTCCCCCTCCTTCCCCCTTTCCTTGAGGCATTTCTCTTCAAAGACTAGGAAATGAAAACTAAAATCAACAGTGCAATCATGTCCAGGTCTCTCAGGGGCACAGACAACCCTAACTGGAGAGCAGAGAGGAAGGTCCAGCAGCCGTTCCCAGGTAAGTCAGACAGTCTCAAGCTGTGCCCGAGACACACCCTGACATGAATGTGCACACTGCCCGAGAGCAGCACACCTGGTAGAGCCACTTCCACTGGAATGGAACAGCAAACTTCAGGAGAAAGGCGATGATCCTGGTGAAGTATATGTAGCACACAATCTACAGGAAGAGAAGAAAAATCCGGACATGTCAGCGATGCTTTCGGCTAAGGTGCTCTCACAATAAACTACAAAACAGAAACCAGAATCAACCAAAGAAAACGACGGCACTTACACCGCTAGTTCATGAACACAGCCCGGAGCTCAGGCTCTGCTAGCTGCATCTGAAAGGAGCTTGGCTAGTTTATAGGCCGCTAAGACACAGGGCAGACCCATCTCAGGGGCGGTCAAGACCCTTCAGTAAGGCTGCTCTTAACCTTTCTTGCCTATTCACATGCAGACCCTCTGATTTCAGCCTCCAGGAGCCATCTTTCTACGGCCGGGCCTGGAAAGACAGTTCCTGGCAGCAATAGCAAAATAAACACAGAAGCACCCTGGCCTCTGGTCTTTTCACCTCAGTGTGCACCTGAGGTCTACATTCCCAGCACGTCTGTGGCAGGTATGCTAGCCCCCTCCTCTCTCTTTTCTTCCTGTTGACAAGGCCTCAGTGGCCTTGGGAACAGATTGCATGCTGGACCAGGCTGGGGTGGCCAGGTCGGCTCGGGTGTCAGGCCTCAAGGTCTGAGCTCACCAGCCTTACCAAAGGACCACTCCTCAGTATCACCACAGGCATCAAGAAAAGGTCTGTGGCAACACCTGCTCTCATGGATGATACAAAATCCATGTAAACAAAAAAGCAACGGGGGCAGGGGGCATGAACACGCCAGCGGGATGAACTGTCCGCCCTACTTTTCTATCGAAGTCTCCAATGTTTTAATGTTTGAGAAGAAATGCCTGATGGGACATCACTGCCAAAACCACAAATGGAAGAGAGAAGACAGTTCTAAATGACAGCACGCCTCCATGCTGTACTCGCTAAGTCTCTGTGTCTGCCACTGGCCTGTTCTGAGGTCTGATGAAACTGCCTTGCTGAGTGTGCTAGTGCACACTTTTATTTCTGGCAGAAGCAGGCTGATGCCTGTAAGTTCAAGGTCAGCTTGGTTTACATAGTGAGTTCCAGGGCAGCCAGAGCTACATGGTGAGACCCTGTCCCAAAAACAAAAACAAAAACAAAATAAAGAGAACGGTCTCAATTTTCTGTGTTAAGTCTCCTGCAGGGAGATGGGAAAGGAGAGAGGGGCAGAGACCCGGTAATCTTCAGTGGGACAGGCCCGGAGAGGAACAGGAAAGGTACAGCCCACGCTCCTCAGTGGCTAAGGTTAGCTGAGGAACAGCTTGGTCTGGCCGAGTCTAGGAAAGAACGGACGTGAACTCTATACTGTGAGCACTCCACAAGGGCCTGAGCTGTTCCTAGGCCCTGTGTTTCTGTTTTCACACAAAGCCTGTGGTACTTTTCTAAGTATTTAAAGCCACTTCTAACACTGAAACTTAAGACATAACCCAGCTATTCCTTCCCATTTTAAGAGGCCACATGAGGCTGTGAGGTAACTGGCAGGTCCAAGCTCAGCAGCCGCTCCCACAGGCGCTCTCACTCATCTTATTTACAGATTTAAGATTTATTTTTTTACTCACCAAGACGTAGTAATGTCTGAAAAGCTTCAGCTTTGCTAAGTTAATAGCAGCTACAGAGAGAACAAAATGAAAAGCTCATTATTTTTCTACCCCTGTATCCCCACCCTTCTGTCCATTTGCAGACAAGGTCTTGCTGTGGGCCAGGCTACTTTCAAATTCCTGGGTTCAAGGAGAACTCCTTCCTCAGCCCCACGCTACTAGAACTACTATGCCTGGAGATTCGTTTTTTAAAACCTCATCCCATGTACAAGCTCTCTTGGTTCAGAGGTGGTCTGAGACCCAGGGAGATACCCACACTCTGGAAAAGAGGCCACACACACCAGGAAGAAATGGAGGTGAGGCTGATCACCAGCGTGGTGCAGCCAGCCACCCAATCCCTCACGGTGCCTCTTCACTCCGAGATGGCCAGCTGTGACCTGCTAGGGCAGGGGCATATCGCCAGTGCAGAAACTGAGGCTACTGATGGGGTCTCAGTGCTGCCCACAGGCAAGGTTAACCTCTCCAGCCCTTCCTCTACAGCTGTGAAGGACAGCCTCCCCTCGACTAAGGGGGACGCCCAACCAGCCAAAGGAGCAAATCCAACCAACCCTCAGGTGTCCTGGGCAAATTTCATTTTGCAGTAAGCCCTTTAAATGTAGCCTCCCTGGCTAAGCTCTACCTTCAGGAGCGCTCAGGGTCAGCCGGGCCAGGGCACCCAGCTTCCCGACAGCCTATGGCTATGAAATATTGATGGCCGCACAGGGGAGCCTGGCTCCCTCCCCAGTCAGCAAGCCTTCATCGTCACAGCCTTCCTGCAGGAGGCAAAGTAATTTTGCTTAATAGCATTCAATTACTGATTCGGTAGAATGGGACCGTGGGTGGCAAAGGTTCAAACTTCCTCTTCCTCTCCCCTCTGGCTCATGATTAGTCGGGGGCAATCAAGCTTAGGATTCCCACAGAAATTCGGGGAATCCTAAATTATCTTCAAGGTGATCATCAACTAACAGTTCTTCCAAAAACTCCTCTGAGAAACCCAATGCGTCCAGGAGGGAGGCTGGGAAGCCTCTCTGGGAAGTTCTGAAGCTAATGTGAGAGGACATGGGAAGCTGCAGTGGTTTTGCACCAGTGCCTGTGTATGAACATATGTGTGCACACACATGGCATGTGGAGGAGGAGATGACAGTCGACAGATGGCCTAACACGTTGCCAGGGCAGCATCTCAGGGAGTCATATTTTTTGACTGTTAAACTCTCCTAATATCAACCTTGGTTTATCAATATGGGTGACTGATGTGAGCCAGGCCTTGGGTACAAGCAGGGCCCTGTGTAGCCAGAGCCCCCACACTGCTGTTGGGGATACCCCCACCAAGGACAGATGCTAAATCTCAGACTTGTGAGGTGAATCAGTGTCCAAGCACTTGGCCCTTGGCCCACGTGCACAGCCCTGTGCCTCGTGCTCCCACTCCAGCTGCCGGCGGAAAGGCCAGTGCCTTTGGGGCAAAGCCAGCAAAGCTGAAGGGAACGTCGGCCTCCCATCCAGGCGGGTCACTACCTGAACACAAACACTAGTTCTCTTCTGCATGAAAGAAAACATGGTAGAAAGTATCCAACAACTGTCCGTAACTCCAGTTCCACAGGATCCCACAGCCTCTTCTGTCCTCCACAGGCATTGCACAACATGGGTGCACTTACCTACACGCAAGCAATACACACATACACATAAAAATAATAAATAAAATTAAAGAAAAAAGATGGAAAGACCCCCTCCATGCTTACATATCAGTACAATTCATATTGTGAAAATGGCCATCCTACCAAAAGCAATCTACAGATTCAATGCAATACCTAAAATTCCAACACAATTTTTCATGGACATTGAAAAAATAACCTCAAATTTCATATGGAAACATAAACCCAGGATAGCCAAAATAATCCTGAACAATAAAAGAACTGGTGGAAGAATTACCATCCCTGACCTCAAAATATACTACAAAACTATAGTAATAAAAACAGCATGGAACTGGCATAAAAACAGACACATTGATCCGTGGGTTAGAACTGAAAATCCAGATTTAAACCCACACATTTACAGGTATCTGATTTTTGACAAAGGAACCAAAAACACACACTGGAAAAAGACAGCAAGTTTAACAAACAGTGCTTGTCAAACTGGACAGCTGCACGTAGAAGAATGAAACTAGATCCCTGTCTCTCACCATGCACAAAACTCAACTCCAAATGGATCAAGGACCTCAGTGTAAGACTCGATACCCTGAATCAGATAGAGGAGAAAGTAGGGAATATACTGGAACTTAAAGGCACAGGAAAGAACTTTCTGAATAGAACTCCTATAGTGCAGTCCAAGTCCAACAGTTGACAAACGGGACATCATGAAACTAAAAAGCTTCTGTACAGCAGAAGACACCATCATTCCAGTGAAGAGACAGGCTAGAGAATGGGAAAGAATCTTGACCAGCTGTACCTCTGAGAGGGTTAGTATCTAGAATATACAAAGAACTCAAAGAACAAACCACTAACAAAACCCAAATAAAACATGGGGCAAGGAGCTGAACATGGCATTCTCTACAGATGAAACACAAATGGTCGAGAAATACTTTTTTTAAAAAAATTTATTATTTTTAATTTATGTGTGTGCATGTATTGCCTGCACATAGGTAAGTGCACCCATGTTGTAAAATGCTCGTGGAGGTCAGAAGAGGCTGTTGGATCCCCTGGGACTGGAGTTACGGACAGTTGTTAAGCTGCCATGTGGGTGCTGGGATTCAAACCCAGGTCTTCTGCAAGAACAGCCAGTGTTCTTAACTGCTGAGCCATCTCTCCAGCCCAAGAAATACTTTTTTAAAAGTTCAACATCTTAGCTGAGCGTGGTGGCGGATGCCTTTAATCCCAGTACTTGGGAGGCAGAGGCAGGTGGATCTCTGAGTTCATGGTCAGCCTGGTCTATATCATAAGTTCCAGGCCAGCTGGGACTATAGAGAGACCCCATCTCAAAAATACCAAAAAAAAAAAAAAAAAAGTTCAACATCTTTAGTTATCAGGGAAATGCAGATTAAACCACTTTGAGATTTCATCCTGCCCCACTCAGAATGACCAAGATCCAGAACACAAACTTCTCCACTCTGGTGGCACTGCAAGTTTTCAGCCATGATGGAAGTGTGTGGAGACATGGAGAAGTGGGCACGAAACCCCAACCCAGCCTAAGGGACTTTTGGCAACTGATTGCTGTTAGAAGGGGGAGACACAGTTTCTTACACACATTGTTTTAAAAATCAAGGTCAAAGAGACAGTTCACACCCTCCCCAGCTGACACTGTTCAAAGGTCTTGCAACCATTTAGGGAAAAAGACAGTGTCCGGAATCGGCACTGTCCACTGAGTGATGCCGGGCACCACAGGCATTTCCTGTGCCTCATCTCACAGGTTCCTTTACTCAGGAGGTGCCAGCTCTGGGAAGGATTGGGCCTTAAGTGGAGAAGCCAGGGCTCAACCCCAAGGCTCCTTCCTCACCACTAAGCTCCCCCACCTTACACCCATGCTAAAGGCAAGCCCAGCTTCAGACCCACAGCAGATCCAGGGATGCGGTCAGTGCCCCTGGTAACTATTCCTAGGAGTTAACCCTGATGATTTGCAGGACACACACAAAGGCCCATGACAGTTTATCAGAGGGCACAGTCCTTCCCTAGGTGTAAAGAAAGCCTTGGGGCTAAGACCCCCACCCGCCCATCCTTCTGCTTCCTCCCTGCTGGGATAGAGAGGATGTTGAGTCATGTTGATGGTAAGCCGTGCCCCTGGCAACTATTCCTCGGAGTTAGCCCTGATGATTTGCACACACACAGGCCCATGACAGTTTAGCAGAGGGCACAGTCCTTCCCTAGGTGTAAAGAAAGCCTTGGGGCTAAGACCCCCACCCGCCCATCCTTCTGCTTCCTCCCTGCTGGGATAGAGAGGATGTTGAGTCATGTTGATGGTAAGCCTGGCAGCCCAGTCCCTCCAGCTCCCTCTGCTCCCAGTTCTTAGAGAGCTTTGGGAGCCACTTAAGCTCTGGCTCAAGATCACCCTGCAGGGAGCAGAGGAGCTGCAGTACAGTGTGCAGTCACACACTGCTCTTACGGCCTGTGGCAGAGCCTCTCTGCCACGGGTCACTGTCATCAGTGAGACAAGAGTGCAGGCCACAGACCTGGGGCTACACGGACCACGAGGAGATCCCACAGATGCAGCTCATACTGCGGCGCAAGCACAGGCAAAGGCTGCTGCAGCTGTGCGATGAGAACAGACTGAGACGAGAACGGACTCCTTCCACCCGCAAGCCACTGAGGGTCATGTGAAAAGTGATCGCAAACGTATGTCCCAGTGCATTTAAAATAACAGCCCAAGAGATAGCAACCGTTACCAAGTTAAATAGTCAGGGGCCAGTCTAAGCAAAATTATATCGTTTTTAAAAAGTATTTTATGGGGGCTGGAGAGATGGCTCGGCGGTTAAGAACACTGGCTGTTCTTGCAGAAGACCCGGGTTTGAATCCCAGCACCCACATTACGCATAAAATAAAAATAAGTTTTTTTTTTTAAAAAAAAAAGTATTTTATTTATTATTTTTATCTTATGTGTATGCATGTATTGCCTGCATGTAGGTAAGTGCACCTGTGTCATGCAATGCCCACGTTAGACAGAAAGGCGGGGGGATACCCTGGAACTGGAGTTATGGAGAGTTGTTAGCTGCCATGTGGGTGCTGGAATTCGAACCCAGGTCTTCTACAAGAATAACCAGTGTTCTTAGCCACAGACATCTCTGTAGCCCCCACAAAATTATATCTTAAATGATAAAAGAGAAAAGTAAAAGTAGGTCACAAAAATGAACTAGCTGGACAGGGTAGCTCAGGCTTGAAGATATTCCCAGCTTCTGGGGAGGCTAAGGGGGAGGATCCCGAGAGCCTAGAAGCTCAGGGCTAGCCTGGGCACAAAAGCAGAACCTGTCTCTGTCTGTCACACACACACACACACACACACACACACACACAGTGCCCCAAAGAGCATCTGACAGTAAGTAGCTCAGTGA